AGCATTACATACTGCGAAAATGGCATCTTTTATGGTCCATGTTTTCAAAAGTTCTTTCATTGAATCATAACAATTTTCTTGTAAGAGATAACGGAGAAATATCTTTTTGTACTTTCGTTTCAAACAGGAAATCACGCCTTGATCCATTGGCTGTATTAAGGAAGTTACGTTAGGTGGTAGATAATAGACAAAAATTTGACCATCCATTGTTTTCAGGGTAGATTCTGAGGGGTGTGAAGGAGCGTTATCAAGCAGAAGAACAGCTCTTTTTGGTATACCTTTTTCATCTTGAAATTTTTTTACAGAAGGTACAAAAACGTTAAAATACCATTCACTAAAAATAACCTGGTTCATCCAAGCTTTTGGGTGGTGGTAATAATCACATGGAAAATATTTCATTTCGGTTCCTTTAAAAGATCTTGGTTTTTTAGCTTTTCCAATTACAGTTAATTTGATCTTATGTGTACCGGTTGCATTTGAACATGTCATAATAGTAAGTCGTTCTTTGCTAGATTTATGTCCAGGAGCTGATTTTTCAGATTGCGCGGCAAGTGTTTTTGAGGGTAACATTTTCCAGAATAGACCTGATTCATCTGCGTTGTACACTTGATCAGGGGACAGGTTCAATTTTGAAAGCATTGAATTGAATTCGTCATTAAACAGTGTTGCAGCAGTCAAATCTCCACTGAGACATTCACCTTGAATGTCCAGCTGTCTTATACCATGACGAGTTTTGAATCTAAATAACCAACCTTGTGAAGCATTAAAACTTTCCTCTATTTTCAAATTTTCATGAAACCATTTTGCTTTTTCACAAACTATTGGCCCAGAAATTGAAAGTCCTTCAATACGCTTCTGTTTAAACCATTCAAAAAGAGCAGATTCCATATCTGATAATGATGACTTTTTCATAGTTTTTCACGTAGCTGATAATTCTGGACAAGATATGAACTTAAAAATTTCATTTTTTTGTTTGATTAAGTCACGAACTGTCTGTTGACCCACGCCAAACTCGTCTGCAAGTTTTTGTATACTTTCACTATGATCTACAGCTCGGTTAATAATCAACACTTTTTTCTCAAGAGAAAGAACGATACGTTTTCGTTTAACACTCATTATTAGATAAGGTAACGTTGCGAACGCTTATAGAAAACTGAAGGTGATACGATAAATACAATTTGTAATAATCTACAATATTGTTTATCTTGATATTGTTATCGCCATAATATGTACAATCCATAACTATTTTTAAATTTTCGGAAGAGTGAGCACGGTTAATCGCGAACACGGATAATCGAAGCACGGTTAATCGAGGTTCCACTGTATATATATTTACTGACACACTGTATTATATGAAAAAATGATTAAAAAAAAATTCTTTATAATAATTATAATTTTGAGATATTACGTGAGACATAGTTAGCGGATCACTCTGTATATAAAAAATATAAAAAAAAAAAGGGATCAAAAAAGTACTCTGGAACACCATACGATGGATAAAAATAACAGAAATGTGCGCTATTAACAGAGATGAATTGAGGATGGTCTAACATTTATGAGTTTATCCAAAACAATAAAGGACTTTTAACCTATAAACTATTAAAATCTACAATGTTTATAATAATTCTAATTTTCATAAATTATTATTTTTTAGATTGTGCAATATGTCAAGAAATACCTATGGGAGATATATTTAAAACTGAATGTTGTAAAAAGAAATTCCATTTTACATGCATGTATAATTGGTCAAAATATAGTAATGAAAGAGTTTGCCCTTTATGTAATGGCAAATTTGTGGCAGGTATGGAATCTTTTAATATATTTAAATTTACTCTTCAGAAACCTATTTTTAATTTGTAAAATATACATTTTTGAATTTAAGTTTTATAATGAATTTTCATATAATACAAGTAGTTGCATAGTTTTATATATTATAAAATAATTAATATTATAAAATATTTATATAATTTTTAAAAAATTTATCCTATCTACAAAAAAAAATAATATTTTTGCTATAAAGTTCAATTACTCATAGAAGTAAAAAAATTGGAACATCAATTAACATTAATCTTACATTAAATTTAACAAGCATTAATTTGATATAGTTTAGAAGAATGCGTGTTTTTTTTTTTTGGTAATTTTAAATGCAACGAAATCAAACATTTTTCGAGTTTTTTTCAAGTTAAAGAACATTTTATACATTTAAAATAATTTTAAAGAAAGCAGACTATTCAGAACATTTTAAAAATTAAAAAGAAAAGACCTTCATGCATTTTTTTATTTTTACCTGAACTATGTTACGTGATGAAATTTAAAAGAAGTATAATTTCATCAAGTTAATATCACTAATAATAATTTCATTATGATCTGTTATCAAGAATGTATTTCATTATAAATTTAAAATTGAAAAATTTAGTGCTGTCAGAATCCAGAGTAGTGTATATAAAAAATTTATTTAGATTAATATTGATTGATATTTGACATATTTGGTATTTGGGATTGAAAATACTGTTTCAAAAAACATTTCAATACATTTGAAACAAATTAAAAAAAATTATCACATTTATCAAATATTACATTAATTTTGATATAAAAGGTTGATAACTCATAAAAACAAGTTTTTTTTCTTTATATTAAACAGATTCAATTTGAAATAATTAAGATTATTGCGAATATTCTGTTAATATGAAATATACTCAGAAGCGTATTTATGTATTTACCGCTTATAGGCCTGTAGAAAATTGCTGCCCTTAATTATGATAAAATAAAATTTAATTAGGTAGGTATGCAAAACAAATTGAATTTATATTTTAAATACAAAATCATAATTATTAAAATTGGAAAAAAAGGAATAACAAAATATTGGTATCGGAATATTTTAAATTTATTACATAATAAATTGCTGATTTCCTATTAGACGATCGGTTTACGTCGACATTTGGTTCTTGCAAATGTGTCTATTAAATCTTCACAATTCAATTCGCTTAGCATTTCATTCTCTATCGAAAATAATGCTAAATTATTCAACTTGTCATCAGTTTGTGTGGACCTTAAATAGTTTTTTACGCGTTTGAGGCATGAAAACGATCTCTCGGTAGTACAATTGGACACTGCTACACTCACAAAAATCCTTAATGCTGTGTCAATATTTGGAAATATTGCAATGTGTAAACTTTTTTCTCTTAAATACTGGCACAGTGTGATAGGAGTTAAATTATTTACGTCAATATCGATATCACTATTCAATAAATAAGATTGTAAATGTAAGCATTCTGACGAAAAAGTATTGTCTAAATCATTCGGGTACATTTTTTGCAATTTCTCAGCAAACTTAACTATTTCCAAAGAATTTAAAGATGTAATTTTTAGTAGTACTTCAAATATATCACAAAACGCTTTGAAGGCCTGTTGTCTTTTCTTAAGTTCATTTGTCATCTTATCAATAATTACGTAAAATGTTTCAACTCGAAATTTATCCCTACCAATTAACTCGGTTGGTTGCTCAGTTTTTTCATCGAAGTGTAATTTTTTTTTTTTTTGTCGAGATATACCAAAATTGTACTCGGTAGTCTTTGATATTTTTTTTGCTCTAGTTTCATATTCATCAAAATTATCTCGGGTTTTTTGAACTAGATTAATTAGTGATGTATAAATCTGAGAAACTTTATCATTTCCAATTTCAACACATTGTAATTGTTTATTAGATGCATTAAATCGTTCTAATATATGATTCCAAAAAATCATCATAAATGATGTTTCTAACTTTTGCATTTGATTATAAAGACCATTTGACTCATTTCGCGTAACACATTTTTCAAAAGTGTCATCCTTGATAGTGATCAATGCGTTAATAATTTCATCCCACGAATTATATAATGCTCGACATGCGTCTGCGCGAGCCGACCACCTGGTGTTTGATAAACTCTTAATTGTATTAGCATTACGTTTCATATTTAATTGCAAAATTGACCATCTCTGCGTTGATGCGGAAAAAAAATTATATAATTGTTGTATAAATCCAAAAAAAATTGATGCTTGTGGACAACTTTCTGCAGAAGATATGCCAACCAAATTTAACGAGTGAGCGCTACACGGTACGTAATAAACTAGTGGATTAATTTCTTTGATTCGAGCCTGAACTCCACTGTATTGACCTGACATATTACTAGCATTATCGTAGCTTTGCCCTCGACAGTCAGAAATGTCAATATCATGAAATTTTAAAGTATTAATAATGGCATTAGTTAAATCTAAAGCTTTATGTCCTGGATTTGAAACAAAAATTCATTTCAAGCTAAAAAAATTGTATTATAATTTTTAGCAGCAGCTTGGTTGAGTCCTAGTCAAATAACTTGACCACTTTTAAACACCTAAACTTTAAATAACTAAGAAAATTAAATTTTTGAATAATAGAGCAAACAAAATGATTTAATAAACTTAAATAAATTTCTTAATTGTAATTTTTTTTTTTTTTTTTTTTTTTTTTTTTTTTTTTTTAGAATGTAAAATATGTAGTCGTGATTGTGATGTAAATGATGATGTAACTGAACTTGAGTGTTGCAAAACTAAGACACATAAAAACTGTATAGATTATAGATTGTCAAATGTATCAATTACGTGTCCTAATTGTAACGTAGAATTAGAATCGAGTGAGTATTTGATTATTTTATTCAAACTTCGTTTTTGCATTATTATAACTATTATTTACTTCAATACCTAGTTGAGAAGCTATTGTTTTCACATTGTCATATTTTTTATTTTACTAATATGTGTCTGTATACGCCATTACTCAAAATATCACAAAACGTATATAGTTGAAGCTTTCTTAATACAATAATTTTGAAAAATTGCAATTGTTATAAAACAGTCTATGATGATATTTTAACTTTAATGGGAAGCTGAAAAGTATTAATTTTACTATGATTTGTTTTTTCTTTTTGTGCGGTCCATAAAAATTCTTAGCTCCTACTGGACAGGTTTTTTCAAAATTACGCCGAAAGATCAAAAATCGTAACTAATGTAAGACATTACACTCAAAAATTGAATTAAGAAATTGAATTAAGAAAGTGAACTTTCTCCTTTTATTTATTGATTAAAATCACTATCATATAAACTCTTCGATACAAATCTATAGATAGTGTTTAATTTTAAAAAATTGGTGGATTTCTCAAAAGCTACATAATCTGCTATTTCCTTATTAATATCTTGATTAAGATAAAGTATGTCGAATGAAAAAGAGATATAAATATTATTTCTCTTAAAATAGTGCTGATCCATACACTTTTTAATAAGTTATAACATTATAAAGTAAAAAATGTAAAATATAATATCGAGAATTTTCACACAAAAATAGCGTTCGGTAGCCATTTTCACCGTGAAGACAATATAAAGTCCGAATTTTTTTTTTCCATAATAAAGTATATTACATAAGCTGTAATTTAAGATATATATAAAAGTGTCAGACTTTTCGGAACACTTTCAAGAGTTATTTTTTTGTGAAAAAGTTGTCATTTTACATCCCCCGTGTGGACAGATTAAGTGTCAGATTTATAAAAAAAATATACTAAATGAAAGTTAAAGACATCATCAATCTATAAAAAAAATTATATTTATTTGGTCATTTTTGAAAGACTTATGACAATTTTAAGTAAAAAAAAATTTTAAAAATGTCAAAAATTAGCGATTTTTAAATTTGTACTTTTTTTTTTGAGATTTATGGAAAACGAGGAATTTTTTTTTTCAATTTTTGAGGGTAATGTCTTAGATTAGAAACGATTTGTAATCTTTTGACATATCATTGAATGAAATCGGTTTTGTGAGAGCTGAGAAAAAGTGGCAACAAGCACACAAAAATAAAACACATCATAGTAAAACCAATACCTTCTCTACTTTACCACTTTAAGTATAACTACTTTAGTAGTTATTGAGAATCAATACAAAATATCGTATAATTTTGAGGAATTATTAGTAATGTTTTGCATAGGAACTGAATACTTATCTTGTTATTAATTATTTTAAATTAAAGATCATTAATGTAAATTATGAGTAAAAAAAATATCCAGATACATCAACCGGTTGTGTCTGAAATCATAATTAGATTGAATTTGGGTTTTTTCGACGTTAGGTCAACAAAATCGGTCTTTAAAAAGCTAAGAATTCTTAAACACCTACATAAAAAATAATTAATTACATTAAGGCAAAACCAATATTTTCTCAGCTGCACATCAAAGCTAAAGAAATTATCATTTTGTTGAAAATCAAAATTTAATTTGAAAATAATTTATGTTTTTAAGTTATTGATGGCTATTGCGCACAATGGACCAACAGGTCTGAGTGCATGGGCATTATGTCCACCTCGATAATATTGATGGCTATTAATAAGTGATGTATTTATTTTTAATTGATAAAATCTAAATTAAAAAATGTGTGATATATTTTTTCAGATTATGACGGTAAGTTGCTAATTTTTATTTACGTCATCAAGTATTTATTGTAAATAACACTTAAATTTTATAAGTAACCTGTGATTTAAAGTCAATGATAATGATATTTAATATCATTAAAGTATGTCTTCTGCTGTGCTTTCATTTCAGCTCACTAGTCAATAATCATATTGGTACTTTTCAGAAAAGAAA